GACACGAGTGACATCGAGCTGGCCATGCCTACCCTGGCCATGTGTAGTCTGGCCACACCTCCCCCTGAGGTCAAACAAAACCCTGATATGGCCCTCAATGACATTGAGTTTGACACCCCTGGTATAGAACATAATATATAGATAATTGTAGTAAAGTAAGTAGTAATAGTATAGTAAATATCATAGTAATGGTATAGAGATTTCAATGGAATAGAACAGGCCTGTCAAACTGGCGGCCCATGGGCCTGATGTGTTACGCACAAGCCATGCCCCTCCTGTCTCTCCAAAAGCAAAAAAATGTCACGATATGTTATGATACAGTGTACATCATGTAACGTGATCAAGTCTTACACCGATGGAATAGAATATAGGAAACACTCAAATATTTCTTTTGTACGTTTGTTTTTACAAAATAAAACATCTCCCTAATGATATAAAGAAACCATCTGTCCAGGGTCCAATGCTACTGTGTCATTCTTGAGTTTGGGTCAATCTACTTGGGTATAGCTTACAAAAGAACCTGTGATAACCCTACTAAGGTAAAATCTCCATTGAATTGCATTTGATTCCTAGGGACTTCATGGTCCTGTCCACATAATTCTCCATTGATGTTTGAATACTAACATTTGTCACTATTTCATTATTTGCATGTGATACGTGACATGCAAGGACAGTGCACACCTAGCACAACATTATAACTGCAATGAAATTTTAAAAAGAGTAAAGACAAATTGAAACAAAGCTCACTTTCTGATGAGAGCCTCCATGCAATTTTCTTGGCAGCACTATGTAAGTGGTTTGTCATTGCCATTTTCCTTTTTTTTTAAACACACACACACACACACACACACACACACACACACAGCTTCCCATTCTAGTCTGCAGCAAACCTGTAACTGATGATCCCTCATAAAAGCAACAACCAATCCTGACCTTGCTTAGTTTTTAAAATCATCAAAGATTCAAATACAAAAGCCAAACAATAAAAATGTTTACATCCAGCCCTTTAAAATAAGCCTATTTTTTAAAATGATAGATAAAATAAATTTAAAAGATGCATGGAGAGAAAGAAACGCTAAGAGCAAACAATACACTTTTATTCAAACAGACACTCATCATGGTCTAGAATAGACATGATATGGATGTCAACAGAATTGATCGCTAATCTACAAAAAATTGACATAGAAACAAGTACTTGGGCAGATCATAATCCAATGACAATTAAATGGAAAGGACAAAGAAGAAGATCCAGATGGACTTTAAATAATACTACATTAAAAGCAAAAGACTTTATACAGAAAATGGAGAAAGAATTGGCTTTTTTCTTCAAAGAAAATTTAAAAAAAGATACATCAATGCAGAATTTATGGGATACAACGAAGGCTTGTGCTAGAGGCTTGATAATAGACTATACAAGGAAAAGAAATATTATAAAAAGACAAGCCTCTAAGACATTAGTGGATGAGTATAAAATACTTGAAAAAGAGTTACAGAAATTGCCACAGAAAAAGGACATTAAGTTAAAAATTGATACAATTAAACATAAAATGGGATTAATAGAAAAAGAAGAATTAGCACAGAAAATCAGAGGTGCAAAGCAGAACTATTTCGAAGAAGCAAATAAACCAGGTAGATGGTTAGCATATAAATTGAGAAAGGAGAGAGAATCAAGGAAAATATTGCAATTAATAGATGATCAAGGCCAAGCTTGTTATGGAAGTAAAGAGAAAAAAATATATACTATGGGAAACTGTATGAACAAGAGAATATAGACGATGAAAGAGTTAAACAATACCTGCAGAATGCTAATCTACCCCAGATATCTAAAGAGACCGAAATAATGTTAGAAAGTAACATAACAATGATGGAGTTAACCAAAGCACTTAAGAAGCAAAACAATGGAAAGGCACCAGGTCCAGATGGACTTCCAGTGGAATTCTATAAGACACTACAAGAATCGTTGAATCTTCCATTGCTAGAAGTTATGAATGAAGTTATGTCAAAGAAGAGGATACCCAAATCATGGCAAATATTACACTTGTCCCAAAGG